AAGTGTACGTTCACAAACTTCTTTACATATATATATCATTTCTTTATATATATGCATTCTTTTGTCCAATTATCCGTACAGCGTTGGCAGACAATCGCCGATTACATCAATGCACGCGATGGCAACGTTACCGGTGACGATGTGATGAATAAAACCAAGGCAGAGAAAGTGGGCGGGAAGAAGAATGTGGATGCCTTCGAAGCTTTCGAGAAGAAGGGCCACAAACCCATTGAGGAACTCCACTCAATGGGCGGTATTTCCCGTAAGTTGTGTGTATCCGTGTGTGTCCGTTGCCCATACATGTACATTCAATTTTGTTTATTCCCTCAATGATATATTCGTACACGTCGTCTTTAAGTTTTTGTTTGTACATTTGTGTATTCGAGAGTGTGGATTGTGGATGTGTTCGAGAACCGTTGAGAATAACGGCTACAAGCTCATTGGAGACAACCACTGAATGGGCGGTATATACCATAAGCTGTGCGTATTCTACTGCCTGGATTGCCCACACATGTACTTATATGTTTGATAATTTGCCTACCTGTATGCTGGTACACCTTGTTGTCTGGATGAGTTATTGGTCGAGTGTTCGCAAAAGATTGTGTCCCAGGGACGACGTTACTCATACACATTGAGGCATTTTCCTTCATGCTGTATGTGTTGGGTCAGTGTTTATGATCAAACCCATCTATATGTACTTATGCAGAGTCTGCTTAGTATTGTTGTCAGCATGTATACCTGTATACTGATTGTGAAGTCCATCTATATACAATTAAGTAGTGTCTGTTCAGCAGAGTCTTCGGAGTGTATATTTGCACATAGATTGTGCAAGCAGTCGAGGTGATAACGGGAATGGTCTTTGAACTCATTGAGAGACTGCCCTCAGCCACTCTGGTTGTTATTGGCGGTGGAAGAGTGGTTGCCTTTAATCGCCCATGTACATGAGTGTGGGTGTGGATATATCAATTATTCTGGAGTATGTGTATGCATAGAGTTGACTCGCGATCCCATTGAGCGCTTCTATTCATTCGGCTTAACATATTATGATATGGTTCTCAGGAGCAGAGCTTCGAAATCTCGATCTCACTGAACACTTTTCATTTGTACGCTAGGGCGAATGTGCACTTGTGTTTAGAATAGAATCGATGTGTGCCACCTGGCATCCATGTGCGTATGCCAGTAGCACAAGCTGAGCACCATCATACACCATTGTACTACTGATATGATTGGGCTAATCTTGAGTTCATGACGATTTAGAAAATGATATCCCTCATCTCCTGGTTAATTTACTAGTACGTTACATTCGTATCTACTTATGAGGTTTATCCTCAACAGCTTGACCAATGCCAGGGCTCCGGGTGATACTGAACTGTTGGTTTGTATTGAGATACGAGTGAAGCAAGGCCCTTACAGAATCAATAAGGCCACATACAATAAAATGGTAGTACATGTTTATGCTCGCTATTATGCATATATATGGCATTATTCGTCGATCAAGTGTACATGTTCAGAACGTAGGCTTGTCTGTCAATCTACATCGGACCCTTTTAAACTCTATTCTCAATACAACCAGAGCGTTATGACGACGACGACGAAAAAACGGATGAATGGACTACTGAGCAGCAGAAAGCGCTGGAAGCAGGTATCAGCACATACAAGGAACTCAGCAAAGAGGAGGGCAAGTGGGACCGTATAGCTGACATGGTCGAGGGGAAGGATGCGAAGCATTGTGTGGCACGCATTAAGGCGATCAAGAAGGCAATGAAGGCGAAGATGTAAGATCTTCGAGACGGATATACAGTTATCGTACAGGAAATTATAATTTATCTTCTTGCAGAAATATAGATGGTGGATTTTTCTATTCTATTTCTACACACTTTTAAAGAAGTAAAAACCATGCACGATCGATCGGGGATGAGCATATATGTGCTGCTCCCAGTGCTATCGTAAAGGGTTTTAGGGTTTGAGTATTACAGGCACACTATTTAAACAAAAA